GATTCCTTTCCCAACATCCCCCTTACAAGCCCATTCTAGGCCCCAACTTACATTCTTGTTTCTCAATTCGATCCTGACGATACAACCCGTGAAGCCCACAACTACAACAGCACAGCGCGCCAGTCTCTGGATGCCGGGTTACCACCGAGCAACCCTTCGCACGACACCATCCGCACCGGCCATGACAGAGACGACGACGTTGTCGAAGTTACCAGCTTCCACGACTATGACCGCCTCCACTACGAAAAGACCAACGAAACCGGCCTCCGCATCCTTGGGCTCGCAGTCGCCATTCGCCACACCTCCCCCAAGGAACCCACCACCGTTCGCCATGCCGTGTCTGGACTCGACAATGAGAAATGGAAGGCAGCCATGGCAGCAGAAGTAGCGGCACTAAAGAGTCGCGGGACATGGAAGCTGGTTCCCCGATCATTTGCAAAGGGGAGAAAAAAGCTCAGCGGCAAATGGGTCTTCCGAATCAAAACACTCGTGGACAGCTCCATTGATAAGTACAAGGCGAGGTAGGTGGTGCGCGGCTTCGAACAAACTCACATGGTGGATTACGACCTGACCTTTGCGCCCGTCGGAAGGCACACCTCAGTCCGCATCCTCATCTGCATTGCAGCCATCAAACAGCATCCGCTCCGACAAATCGATGTCGGAAGCGAATTTTTCTACGCGCCTGTCGACGCCATCATCTTCGTCGAACAACCACACGCCTTTGAAGAAAGCGACGGTGCTGTCTGCCTTCTCCAGAAATCTTTTTATGGGATCAAACAAGCACCTCGTCTGTGGCAGCAGTACCTGCACACCGTTCTCACGGAGCTCGGATTCGCTCAGCTGCCGCATGACCTTGGGATGTACCGGAAGGAGTTGCGCGGCAAATTCATTCTTCTCGTCGCCTACCTCGACGACCTCCTCTACACCGGCGATGACACGGAGCTGCTCGACCGGTTCGAGGAAGAAATCAAGGAGAAGCTCGAGGTGACGATCAACCTGACACCACGCCGCTCTCCATAAAAAATCATCGGCTCTATCAGCAGCAGCTGGGGTGTCCCCTATTCGCCGCCATCACGTGCCGGCTGGAGCTCTCCTACGTCGCAAGCCAGCTCGCACAGTACTGAAGCGACCTGAAGGGGAGAATCTACTGGACCTACGCTGAGAAGTCCAATACTTCATCTCTACCCGTGACGTCGGACTCACCTACGAAGCCAACTTAACTGCCACCCAGCAGCTCCACGGCTACGTAGACGCTGACCATGCGGGAGACACTAACAACAGATGCTCCCGCAGAGGTTTCATATTTCAACTCCAACCTGCTGGACTCGTCTCCTGGAACTCCCAGAAGCAGGAGCGCATTGCTCTTTCATCAGCCGAAGCTGAGTTTATCGCCGCCAGCGCAGCTGTTCGCGAAGGGCTGTATCTGATGGAGCTCCTGCAGGAAGCGAAAGTGACGATGAACGAGCACTTCACGTTACTCTGCGACAATCAGAGCGGGATCAAGATCGCGAACAAGCCCGGGTGCGTGAACCGCACGAAACACATCGCACTCCGTTACTTCTTCGTGAAGAAGGAGATCGACAAGGGCAAGGTCAAACTCACGTACTGCCCAACCCGTGACATGGCAGCAGGTTTCTTGACCAAGAAACTGCCACGTCAGAAGTTCCAGCACTGCACCGACCTCTGCGGGATCTTGAAGAAATCCCACGTGGCTCACCTTCAGGAATGAAGGGGAGTGTTGTCAGAATGTGATATTTGTCTAGCCTGCAGTGGGGTACTCTATAGCGAGTATAGCCCAAATTAGGGTTTCCTATATGTACTCAACTGCCTGCTAGTGCAAACCCTCTTCTTCTGTTCTCATTCCTCGTTCTATTTTTCACATGCAATCAGAGCAGGTCGACCCTCCCTGGTCGATCCAGTGGATGGGCCCACTTAATGCTTCCGCTGCTGTCCTGCCTATCGCGCGCCCCGGGCGCGCGACGTTTTCTGCTTGCCGCGCGCCCTGCGCATGCGGCGTTTTTTCTTCCCGCCGCGCGCTCGGGGCGCGCGGCGGTTTTCTGCCCGCCACGCGCTCGAGGAGCGCGGCAGTTTCGTCACCCATCGCGGCGTCCCGGGGGCCCGCGCGCCGCCCCCATCCCGTCGCCCGTCGCGGGGTCCTGGAGGCCCGCGCGCTGCCCTGTCCGTCGCCCGTCGCGGCGCCCTGGGGGCCCGCGCGTCCCCCCCCTCCCGTCGCCCGTCGCGACGCCCTGGGGGCCCGCGCGCTGCCCTGCCCGTCGCCTGTCGCGGCGCCCTGGGGGCCCGCGCGTCCCCCCCCTCCCGTCGCCCGTCGCGGCGCCTTGGGGGGCCGCGCGTCGCCCTGCCCGTCGCCCGTCGCGGCGCCCTGGGGGCCCGCGTGTCGCCCCCTCCCGTCGCCCGTCGCGGCGCCCTGGGGACCCGCGCGCCGCCCTGCCCGTCGCCCGTCGCAGCGCCCCAGCTGCTGCCCGCGTCTCTGCCCTGCGTTGGGGGTATGGGGGTGGCGGGTATGGGGGTAGCGGGTGTGTGAGCCGTCCCCTGCTCCTCCTCCTCCTCCGTCTCCCACTGCTGCAGCTGCCGCTGAGGGGGGTGGATGTGTGGGAGCCGAGGGAGTGGCGCTAGGGGGGTGACGTGGGAGTGGAGCTAGGGGTGCAGCAAGGGGTGTGTGAAAGGGGGGTGGGACAGTTGGGGGAGGTTGAGCGGAGGCAGCCGTCGTGTCGTCAGCAGCGCCAGTAGTCCGGGGCTCTGCTCCGGTAGCCCAGCGAGCCTGCTGCGCCAGTCGCCCGTGGGTCCGTTGCTCCTGCCGCTCGTCTTAGCCGCGGAGCCAATTACTCCAGTAGTCCGGGGCGCTGCTCCGGTAGCCGCTGTGCCAGCCGCTCCTGTTGCCCGTGTGTCTGCAGCTTCAGCCGTCGCCTCCTATCTCCTCTCCTCTCACAGTCCCGCCTCCTCCTCCTCACTTGCCCTTTGTGAATGCCTCTAGCTTTGCTTGTACTTGTGAACCTGCTCTATGACTGCTTGCTGTGCTGATTATACCCCACTTTGACTATGGGGGTGTGTCAGAATGTGATATTTGTCTAGCCTGCAGTGGGGTACTGTATAGCGAGTATAGCCCAAATTAGGGTTTCCTATATGTACTCAACTGCCTGCTAGTGCAAACCCTCTTCTTCTGTTCTCATTCCTGCTTGCTATTCTGACAAGTGTTGGAATAACCGAAAGGTTATTATAACATTTCCGAAGGTTCTCTCCCAACGCGCCACTTCGTAACAAAGCAGCGCGACTGTACCAGTGTCGCAATAGCTTATATAGAGCATGCTGAAGCTCGAGAGTCACACGAAGATCAACAGTCGAAGGCAGTCAACGGTCGTGACTGTTGACTACCCAGTAACCGTACTCTGAGGTTACACGCTGCAACATGGTAACTATCGAGTAGAGCAATAGTCGCGGTTACTGTAGCAATGCAATACAGTTAAATAAGGGAATGTACCCCTCAGAGTACATGGCTAGCTAGTTTGCTATTTATACCCTTGTATCTCTACCTTTTAATCATCTTCTTCTCTTTCGAAGACTTTATTGTCTTCCTATAACTTAGCAGTCTTATCTTATCCAGTTCGATTCTCGGATTATATCAACAATTCCGACCAATCTTGTTGAACACCACTCATACATTCGGGGAAAAATTTTCAGGTTCGCGCATGGAGTATCGGGGTACAGGGCGGTGGGGGAGGGGGCACCCCGGGAAGATGCCTTATACTCGCTTCAGGGTAAAACGCACTAACAGAACATGTTACTTTTACGCTAAAGTGTTCCCAAAATCAAAACCCTGATTGATGAGGGAAATTTTATTATAAAAAAACAAACTTTTACGCCAAATTGTGACCCTAAAAAATCACCCTGATTATCAGGGTATCAGAGTAATTTACACTGATAAAATAAGCCCTGGTATGGAGTGCCCTAGTAAGGAATTAGGCAAAATTCCTTACACTTGTAATGTAGAACGTAACCAGCCGTAACTCGAAATCCTAGCACATCCCTGAAATGCGTGCCCCGCACAACCAACAGCAGACATGCATGCTTGGTTGGTTGGTAGATAGACTTTCTTCTCCACCGTTGCTGTGAGTTCAGAAATTTCAACCCACCACCGATCTCTGGGTCCGACCATTTTCAACCCAACTCATTTTAGCCGCAACTCGCACTCGTGTGCCTCGTCGCGAACTTGCAAGCCACGTTCGAGTGGTCCGAGGTGACCTGGTTCAGCCGCCCGTCTCGTTTCGTTCACGCTAAGCGCACTTCCTTCGCTCGCCTCCGCCATGGCTTGGTCCGCGTATTCTCGTTCAGAATTCAGCCGCTCTCTCATTCGTACCTTATCCGTTCTCGCCGAAGTTACTATAACCGCAGCCATGCACCAGCCATTCTCGCCTGGCTAAATTCGCCACTCGCGACTCAGAAGTTGTCGTTCCATTTGATTTCTCGATCTCGCACTGATCGGCACTATTGATTGTCCGATGGAGCGTGTAATGATTAGAATGCGAACCGCAATCGCCACCCCTCTTCTCCTCCTCCTTCCCCTCCTCCATGCCACCCTCCTCTCCCGCCACCTCGCGTCCGCATCCGCCGCCGTCGCTGCAGGCGCCGGTCGGTGGAGGGGCGCCTCGGCGCAGCCTTGGCGCGGCGGTGCGGCTGGCAGCGACGCGTGCTCGTTCGTGACGTGCCCGAACGGCTGCTCCTGCTCCGCTTCCTCTGGCGTCGCCAAGTGCTCGTGCTCAGGTGATTGCAACACGATTGGCGTGCCTCGTTTACTCCCTGCATCCTGCCCCCGCGGCGCTCTCCCCCTCTCATCGCTGAGACTGAGGTGCCCGCGTGTCAAAGGAATACTTTTGCCATCCTCTCCTTCTCCCCCCCACTCTCCCTTCCCCCTCCTCTCCTCTCCCCTCTCCCTCCACACCCCCATTTTTCCTAAGTTCCTCCTCAGATCCATGTTACGGCGTCAAATGTTCACAACTGCCCAGGCGCGCGGCGGTGATTGGTGCAGAACGGTGCAGCGGTATGCGAATGCCCAACCCTTTTCTCCCCCCCCCCCCGTTTCCCGCCCCATCTCCGCCTCAGACCCCTGCTACGGAGTGAAGTGTCCGGACGTATCCAAGTGCGCGGTGCAGAACGGTGCAGCGGTGTGCAAATGCCCGGCGCCCTTCAAGCGGCTGATCAACAACCGGTGCTCGTCCGCTCCCCTCGCCAACTCGGACTACCTGGACCAACACAACGCCGCCCGCGCCGCTGTGGGCGCCGTGCCCCTTGTGTGGGACGATGCCCGTGAGTGCTGCTGCTGGGGCGAGGGGCTGCATGCATGCAGCATGGCGCATGGCGCATGTGGGTGGTATGAGTGGTGCGTGCATGTACCATGGCGTCTCCTTGTGCATGCTTCTCTCTCAGTCCCCTCACTTCCTCCTCCTCTTCTTTCTTCCTTCTGCCTTTATTCCCTCTCCCTTCTATCGCTTCCCCTTCCCCCGCCCCCCATTCTCCCTCCCAGTGGCGTCAAGGGCCAGGGCATGGGTTCAAACGCTGTCCTCCAGTGCGCACAACTGTCAGCTGCAGCACGGCGGCGCCAGTGGCGAGGGGCAGAACCTGTCGGGCGCCAGCCCCAGCGGGTGGGCGTCCAACGGCGATGCGGTGCGCTGGTGGGTGGACGAGGGCAAGTGGTACCAGCTGGGCGTCTTCCCCAACGGCTGTGCGGGCGGTGACTGGGCCAAGTGCGGCCACTACACGCAGGTGAGTGGCGAGCAGTAGCACGTGACTGGGCCAAGTGCGGCCACTACACGCAGGTGAGTGGCGAGCAGTAGCACGTGACTGGGCCAAGTGCGGCCACTACACGCAGGTGAGTGGCGAGCAGTAGCACGTGACTGGGCCAAGTGCGGCCACTACACGCAGGTGAGTGGCGAGCAGTAGCACGTGACTGGGCCAAGTGCGGCCACTACACGCAGGTGAGTGGCGAGCAGTAGCACGTGACTGGGCCAAGTGCGGCCACTACACGCAGGTGAGTGGCGAGCAGTAGCGTTTACAAACACTTCATCGCCAGGCGCAGATGTCTCAATGCTTGCGCCTGCCTCCACGTGGTAGTTCATTTCTAATTGATTTTTCCTTCCTTGTACTCACAACTGCCTTGTGCCTCGTGGGCGTGGCATGGGGGGGGGTGCAGGTGGTGTGGAACAACACGCGCAGGCTGGGGTGTGCCAAGGCGTCGTGTGGCACGCGTAGCGACGTGTGGGCGTGCCACTACTCGCCGCCAGGCAACTACAACGGCCAGCTGCCTTACAGTACGCACTGCACCGTGCCTTCCACGTTCTTGAAAGGACCATCCAGCCCCATGCGCTGCTCCTGCAGTGACAGCTGGTTGCCCCTCATTTCCACCAATTGCTCTCTTCAACTTGCCCTCTTCTCTTGTCCTCTCCCCCTTGCCCTCTCCCCTTCACCCTCCAGCCCTTGCCTTCTCCGCTTTGCATTCTTCCCTTGGCCGTATCCTCTTCGCGGTCTCCCCCCAACACACACGCTCCCCTGCTCCCCCTTCCCCTCCGCCCCATGCGTCCCCACTGCAGTGCAGGACCCCTGCTTCCGAGCGCTCTGCCCGTCCACAGCCACGTGCACGGCAGTGGGGGGCAAGCCCAAGTGCCAGTGCGCGCAAGGCCAGGCGTTGGTCAATGGCAAGTGCCAAGCAGGTGAGCCTGAGAGGCGTGCGCTGCTGGTTGTGTGGCGTGTTTCGTGTGTGTTTTTCACCCACCCTTCCCATCTCTCCGTTCCCGATCATCAGGATGTAAAAAATTGCACATACTCACCTCCCCTCATCACCCTCACACCCCCTTTCTCCCTTTGAATGCAGACCCATGCAGGGGGGCGAGCAGGTGTGCAGGGGATCTGGTGTGTGACGGCTCGTCTGGAGCAGCGCAGTGTGTGTGCCCCCAGGGCACCGTGCTCACCGCTCCCAACACATGTCTGGGTGAGTGCCGCTCCCAACACATGCCTGGGTGAGTGCTGGTCCAAGGGCAGAAGGTTTCGAGGTGGCTTGTAGGAGGGCGTTTCTTCTCTCGCTCTTCTCTAACATCGGAGCTTCGAGGTGCCTTTGAAGTGTTCCTTAAGCTTGTGACTCTTAGCTCTGCTTTTGTTCCCTCTCTATCGTTTACACCACACAGTTCATCCTTCTTAATTTCTCTCACCCCCCTCCACCCCTCTCTCCCCTCCCTCCCTCCAGCGCCCTCCTGCAAGGGAGTGACGTGCCCGGCCTCAGCTCGCTGCAGGGAGGACAGCAACGACATCCCCTTCTGCGCCTGCCCGGCCTCGCAGCCCCTTGTCAACGGCACCTGTGCTTCATGTACTCGCCAATACCAAACCCTTCAATCAACCATTTGCTACTAGCTTACGCTTTCAGAGATGCTCTGAAGAGTTATACTTCCGCCTCCTTTTTTGGAATTATGACACTTTACGTGAGTCCTTCCAACACTCCATTCTCATCCATCTTCTCACGACACCATTCTTGCATCATCCCCATTTCTTCACCTTCCATCCCCTTCTCACCAACCTCCCCCCAGCCCCATCCACCACAGTCACCACCAGCATCGCTCTCTTCAACCGCGCCTCCTTCACCAACTCGCCCTCCACCCTCGGCCCCATCATCCTCCGAGCGCCCACTCCCGGCGCTGCCCGCCCCGCCGGCTGTGTGAACGTGCCGGCGCCCATGGCGGGGGCGGTGGGGTCGCTGAAGATCCTCTGGGATGCGCCTGATGGCGCCAAGGGCACCAGGGTGGTGTGTGGGCTCATGTGGTTTTGGAACGGGGCCGACTGCTATGGCCGCGCCGCAGGGTGGTATCGCCCCGGCAACAATGTTACCACTGCTGCGTGAGTGTCACATGCTGATAGCTGCCGTATTCCGTTTCACTGGTGTTTGTGCTAGCATGTGCAAATTTCCTGCCTGCGTTGCCCTTACCCAGTTTCCTCGGTTTGTTGTCATCAAGTCTCGCTCAAACCGAGACTGATTTGTTTTCTTGTTTTGTTGCCTTGCCCTGAATTGGGCCGCTGCAGGACCACAAGTGGAGAAGTTGCTTTGCTGCGCTCTATCAGCTGCTCTCCTTGAAGCCACTGATTGTACCTTAATCACCATAAGACACCCCCTAGACTAGGGCCTTTTATTTCTAAATTTCTTTGCCTTTTCTTTTGGAGGGGATTGTATTGTAATCGATTGCGTATTGCCATGGGTAAGGGAACGTAACGTACCCCAGAGTACATGGCTAGTCTAGGTCCCTTCGTATTCCATGTATTCTATACATAAATCTATGTATGCTTTCCGTGTCAGAATCCCAGCCACTAACAACTGGGATAAAAGGGCTTGTTTGTGTAGCAGGTGAGTGCGCCCATAACCCTCCAGAGACCGACGTGCCTGTTGATGCAATCTGAACCGTCTTATAGGATCGTCTCAAGTTGATCGCACGGAGTGTAGCAGCAGCGGAAGATTGCTAGGTAATGTCGGGTACGGACTCTGTCAGAAGGAGATTTTGAATATCGACAGAAGTGAATAACACAATGCGGTACAAGAGTTTATATAGGAATACAGTGGAATATGAAAGGTCCTAGCTACCCATGTACTCTGAGGGGGTACATTCCCCTTAGGGCTAATCTAGATGCAACATCGCAACCGTGCGGTTCGGTAACCGTACGCGGTCCGGTAACCGTTTGAACTTTTCCCGCGCTTTGCACTTCAAATTCTTCCTCCTTGTAACTGTCTCGATAACTGTCTCGTCGCTTGGCCTTTCGTCCTCGCTGCAATCATCTTCGCGTTAAGGATTTGTTACTCAGGAATGTTTATTCAACTATACCATATCGTAACACTCCCCTTCATTCCTGGAGGAGCGAAGTCTTTACGCGCTTGGTTATGCCGCAGATGTTTCCGCAGTGATGATACTGTTGACGTGGCAGCTTCTTGGTGAGGAAGTCAGCTGCCATGTCACCAGTGGGGCAATACGTCAAGATGACTTTGCCTTTGTCAACTACGTCTTTGACGAAGAAGTAGCGGAGCGCGATGTGCTTGGTGCGGTTGACGAAGCCAGGCTTGTTTGCGATTTTTATCGCGCTTTGGTTGTCGCAGTGAAGTTTGAAGCTGCTCCTGAAGGTAGAGACCTTCGCGAACAGCTGGCGTGGCGGCGATAAATTCGGCTTCAGCGGAGGAGAGCGCCACCATTTCTTGCTTATGGGAATTCCAGGAGATTGGTCCGGTAGGCTCAAGACGAAAGAGGAAGCCGGTTCGGGACCGTCGATTAGCAGGGTCGGCGGCATGATCTGCGTCCACGTAGCCAACGAGGCTGAAGGAGCGGGTTGTGAGGGTTGAGTAGGTGAGGCCAATGTGCGGTGTGGAGATGAAGTACTGCAGAGCGCGCTGTAAATCAAACATGTGCTCCCCTTCAGGCCGCTTGGCATACTGAGCGAGTTGACTTGAGATGTAGGACAAGTCAGGCCTGCACGTGACCGCCGCGAAGAGGAGACAGCCGAGCTGCTGCTGGTACAGTTGGTGACCGGAGAGGTTGGGAGGTGTGGTGTTGGGAACATGCGGGTTGGCCGGGTTGCGGTAAGGAGTGGAGAGGTTGGCTGGTTTGATGTTGAACTTGGTTGCGAGTGTCTCGGCATACTTGGAGGCGGAGAGGTGGATGGCGTCAGCCGAGTAAGAGATGTTGAGACCCAGGAACTGGGTGACTTGATCGGTGCTGGTGATTTCGACGCGGTTGCTCAGGTTTTTCTCAAACTGAGCTAGGAGGTCGTTGCTGGTGCCGGTGTAGAGAAGTTCGTCAACGTACGCCGTGAGGAGGATGTAGTCGCCGCGGTAGTGGAGGCGGTACATGCCGGGATCGTGAGGCAGCTGGATAAAACCGATGTCGAGCAGGATTTGGTGAAGGTACTGCTGCCAGAGTCGTGGTGCCTGCTTGATGCCGTAGAGCAATTTGCGTAGCTGACATACGCGATCGTCGCCGTCGCCGTAGGTGTGAGGCTGCTCGACGAAAATGAGGGCATCCACGGGTGAATAGAGAAAGGCATTTTTGACGTCGATTTGGCGGAGGGGGAGATGCTTTGCTGCTGCGATGGCGAGGAGAATGTGGACGGAGGTGTGGCGGCTGACAGGTGCGAAGGTTTGATCAAAGTCAACGCCGTGACGTTGGACGAACCCGCGAACAACCCAGCGGGCCTTGAAGCGCTCGATTGTGCCGTCGGCGGTGGTTTTGACACGAAACACCCATTTCCCCGAGAGGACGCGTCTCCCCTTCAAGGCAGCTCGATCAGCGAGGACCCAGGTATCACGAGCTTCAAGCGCGGCGACTTCAGCATCCATCGCGGCGCGCCACTCCTTTGCGTAGGGGCCGGTGAGAGCTTGACGCGGGGTTTTGGGTTCAACCGCCTTGAGTGGGCGGGACACCGCCGTGTGGAGGCCAAGGATGTGGAGGCCGGAGAGGCCAGGGCTGTGGCGCTGATCGCTGGTGACTTCCACCACGTCATCGTCAGAGTCGTTGCCGCTGGAGGGTGTGGGACTGAGGAGGGAGTCACGAGAGGAGTCGAGAGGAGCTCCGTCCTCATCCTCGTCTTCGTCGCTCCAGGGGCGAGGACCTGGGTGGGGATCAGTAGGATCCTGGTCCGCGAGTGCTGCGGCGGCTTCGTCTTCAGGCGTAGCGAGGGTGCGCGGCGGGCGCTCGTATTCCGCGATGTTATGTTCGCCGCGGACACGATCAGCATGGCGGTCGCACTGGAACTTGTGGATGGAGAGGTCCTCGTAGAAGATGACGTCGCGCGCCGCGACGATCTGTGAGGTGTCATGGTCGAGGATCTTCCAAGCGTGGTGCTCGAAGCTGATGCCGAGGTGCACGCCCCAGCGGGCGCGACGTTCGAACTTCCCCGTGGTCGCCGCTGCAGGTCGATACTGCACCATGCGACCCCAGACGCGGAGCATGGAGATGTCGCCTTGCTTGCCGGTGAACTTGAGGTGATGCGAGAGGTTGTCGGTGTTGGCAGTGGTGTTGAGCAGGTTGTGCAGACGGACAGCGTGATGCATGGCGTAAGGCCAGTACTTCGCGTCGACGTCGCTCTGTTGCAGAAGGGCGCGAACCTTGGTCATGAGAGTGCGGTTGGTGCGTTCCGCGACGCCTTGCTGTGGGTGCGCGTAAGGGAGGGAGAGCTTGTGCACGATGCCCTTGTCCTGGATGTAGGCCGCAAACTTGTCGCTCTTGAATTCGGCTGCGCAGTCTGTTTGTCAGAGCTGAGTTTCCGCGTTAGCGTGCCAAACCTTGAAGATGTCATACGCTTTGCTCCTGTGGGAGACATTGGCGACCCAGACGAAGCGGGAGTGAGCGTCGACGAAGGTGAGAGTGTATTCTTCGCCGTTGAGGCCGGTCTTAGTGAGCACGAGGAAATCGCTGTAGACCTTCTCAAGTTTCTCGTAGCGGTTGGTCCCGGGTTCAAGGAGTTTGAAGGGCTGATGTGTGAGTGCAGCTTCAGGGCAGATGTCGCAGTCAGTGCGGCGAGTGGTGTTGACTGGGACTGGAGTGCCGTCTGGGCGGAGGAGAGTTCCAGGGAGAAAGACTTGCGCGCGAATGCAGTTGTTTAGGACTTCCTGAGAGGGGTGACCAAGGCGCTTGTGCCAGAGGTCTGGTTGAGCACGCAGAGCAAGAGAGCATGTGTAAAACGCAATGAGAGGGGCTATGTCTTGTTCAGTTGGCTGTGGGATGGGCTGTGGAGAGATGGAGAGGCCGAATGCAAGAATGATGTCACGAGCAGTGGGGGTTGGTGTGATTGTTGTGATGGCAGCGAGGGGTATGGTTACATCATCTGTGTTTGCTGTTTGGGAGGTCTGGTCGTGGCATGTGATGAGGCGGTAAGGCAAATGTTGCTAGAGGGCTTGGAGCAGGTGAGTCTGAGGGGCCAATGGGCGTGGTTTTAGTGTGGAGTGGGCTGCGGGGATAGGTGCGGTAGGGCAGTATGGTATCGCGGTCGGTGGGGGGTCATGAGTCTATAGAGTCTGGGGAGGCGCGTTGAGGAATGGTAAGAGATCCCGAGGAGTCAGTTTGCGGTGCTGTGCCTGGGGGAATGCCAAGGGGACGTGGTGAACCATATGGTCCCCTTGCTTCTGCTGCTGCTTCTTGTTCGGCTCGAGCAATGACAGCTTCGATGGACTCTTCTTCCTCCATTGTTGATGGTGCGGGGTCCCCCCATCCTGTTGCGCTGGTTCCGCTTCCCCATCCTCCAGCTGTTGCAGATCCGCTCCCCCATCCTCCAGCTGTTGCAGCTCCGCTCCCCCATCCTCCAGCTGTTGCAGCTGCTGCTGCCTTTGCTTCTTCGTCCGTGCGGCGACGCCTTTCTTCTTCTTCATGTCGCTGAAACTCCTCGGTGGTCATGGTGCATCGGGACCAGGGGTGTTGGACGTGGTAGGTCTCCCAGGTCAGTGGGAGAGGGTTATTTTCGCCGTCATATGCGCCAGGTCCCGTGTAGCGCGTGAGGAGCTCTAGGCGATCGTGGACTGTGGGGTCAGTGCGAGCCCTGCGCGGCTGGAAGGTAGTGAGTGCTGCAGCGAGTTCTCCGTCGCGCATGCCAGATGGGTGAGGAGTCTGCCATTCCGCTTCCTCAACAATGTCCATGCCAGCAGGCTGAATGATTGGTCTAGCGTCCTCAGGGATCTGTTCTGAGGGTGTGTCAGTCTGTACTGCTGCGGCTGTGAGGCGCCGTGCTGTTGCAGCGGAAGATTCTCCTTCGTCAGCTGGCGCTTTTCCTCTGTTCGGGGGTGGGTTGGATGGGCGTGTGGATGGTACAGGTCTGTCTGTTCTGTCTGTTGTGGAGGCAGTTGGAGTACGGCAGTTGCGGCAGAGACC